TTCATTCATTGTTTTGATCCTGGCCCGATCGCAGGTGAGTCCGCCGTCCTAGGGGTGATAACCCTCATACCTCCCCAGGCCTAAGTATGAGAGATTTCCGACTTTGACGAGGACAAAGTCAACTCGTCGTCGGACACACTACGGCATCATCCTCACACCCTAACGTCCCACTGCAGGGCAGCGCGCCTACGCTGGCTTCGTTACTTCGATAAACAGGAAGCGAATCATTCTACACATCCCCTTTCGGGGCAGTTGTCATCGCCTACTACATTTATCGAAGCAGCAGGATTAGTATTGTGCTGAAACACAATAAAAGTGCAAAGCGTACAAGGTAAACAATGTATTTTTAAGGAATAAGATAGATATAAAATCTTTCGGAGCAGCCACACGGAAAAAATTTCTGTGCACTGTTTATCTCTATATGTGCACCAATGGTCCTTAATTACAGTATAAATCTTACACTTTAAAAAGGGGTCATATACGGCCTTTTTTAGAGACAGCAAACGCACTTCCATCGGACAACCTCTGCATCAACTGCACTGGAAGTGAGACAAGCGGTGCACGGACATTTTTTCCGTGCAGGGGGTTCAAAATGTGAAAGTCTGACTATAGATTCGTAATCAGTGACCCAAAAAACCCCTAGATACCAACTTCGAAGTAAATCCATCAATAGTTAAAAAATTCGTCCCCCATATTGGAGCCAACATTTTAAATTTTGAAAATCTAACTTCGAATTCGTAATCAGCTACCCAAAAAACCCCTAGATACCAAGTTTGAAGCAAATCTATCAATTTCTAAAAAATTCGTCCGCCATATTGGATCCGACATTTTGAATTTTGAAAATCTAACTTCAAATTCGTCATCAGCGACCCAAAAAACCCCTAGTTACCAAGTTTGAAGTAAATCCATTAACTTTTAAAAAATTCGTCCGCCATATTGGAGCCGCCATTTTGAATTTTGAAAATCTAACTTCAAATTTGTCATCAGCGACCCAAAAAACCCCTAGTTACCAAGTTTGAAGTAAATCCATTAATTTAAGAAAAAATAGCCTACCTCTCAAAATCCGACAGATTTTTTGAGGTTAGAAAAAAATCCTGACGTGATGGAGAAAAACGGACTTCGGATTCGTGTTCAGCGCGTCAAAATACATAGGAAATGACTAGTCTGGTCTGCCGCGCACGACACTTTCTTTTTGTGGGGCTGTGTTATAAAAGAACCATTAGGAAGCTTACGTACTCCATAAACCATGTCTAAATATTTTTTTCTGTTTTTATTCAATAATTGAATAAATTTATTTGTCAAATTTCCATAATTAAGTTCTCCGTCTTCAAAGTTGTTACTTTTATCAAGTAGAGTGTCATTAAGTAGTGTTTATCAAATTCCTCCTCCTCATCAACAGCAGTTGAGAAAGAAAAATCATTTTCCTCCTTTTTAACTTTTTCTTTTTTAATATTTTTGGAAGGTATATCAGTTACTTTAACCAACTTTTCGAGAGGTGTTACTATTGGTTGAAGAGTTTCTTTTAATACTGTTTCTGCAGCCTCTTTACCCATTTTGAGTAAACGATGTTTTCGCCTAATAGCATCACTTGCCACGGTGGTCCTCGAATAATTTTAACTTCGACTTTCTTCTACCTCTGATTTTCTTTTTGGGAATGTTAGGGGACTGCTTTAGGACCATTTTGCAAGAAAAATTAAAATCGAAGACTGAGCACTTTTTTTAATGGAGATTTTTAAATTTTATTTTATAATTTTTTTTAAAGAAAAATCGTATTTACTCTCTATTTACTCATTATGTTATTATTATATTTGTTTACTTATTATTATATTTGTTTACTTAGAAATATAACTCACAACACATTTAAATTATTTATGTTTTCTGAAAATGTTCGTTATGTTCATTTAAATTACTTTTAATTAATAAATATAATTTTTTAAAAATAAAATTTACATAATTTTCTTTATTTTGGGTTATGTATACTTCTAAGTAAACAAATATAATCACATAATGAGTAAATGGTGAGTAAATACGATTTTTCTTTAAAAAAATTATTAAAAAATCGAAAAATCTCGATTAAAAAAAAAGTGCTCAGTCTTCGATTTTAATTTTTCTTACAAAATGGTCCTAAAGTAGTCCCCTAACATTCCCAAAAAGAAAATCAGAGGTAGAAGAAAGTCAAAGTTGAAATTATTCGAGGACCACCGTGTTGCTTTTGCTATTTGACGAAGTGTTTCTTGCTCTTTTCGATACATGTTTTCTTTGTAACAAGATAAACTATACTAATTAAAAATTCAGTAAACTTCTAGTATTTATAGTGTAATAAAACAATCAAATCCTCTTCTATATCTTCCCTCATTAAAATTACGGTCTTTGTCAATAACAACAAAACCATATTTATCAGATTTCCAACATTCTGAACATAAATCGCGGAATTGAGTATAACTCATATCTGTATTAACATGATCTTTGTATACATGTTTTAGATTCCTTTCATCTTGTCTAAATAGAACCAATAAATTAACATTATCTCGAACAAGATGTTTAGGAATACGAGCATACGTTTGACATAAATAGAAACTGTCAACGTTTACATGTCTACCCATACAAAAGAAAGCTCTAACATCTATCTTGCTTTTCACAAGCAATGTCATCAAAAACAAAAATTGAATTTACTTTAGCATCTTTTGGAGATACTACTTCTTCATGTTCACTAAATGGAAAATACTCAACACCATCTACATTTTTTATTACATTTTCCAAAAATTTATATTTCGGTTTTTGTAGAGATTTAGAGTAGAGGTAAATATTTTTAAAACTTAGATCATTTGGATGTATTATTAGGGAAAGAAGAGCATTTGTTTTACTACAATTTGAGGGGCCACAGAAAACTGCTCGAATGCTGTCTGAAAACAGACTACTGTGACGTTTAATCTGTTTTCATTAGTTTCAACATCTATACTATAGATTGGCAGTGCGACAGGTTGTTTCGTGAACTGTATCTTGACAGTAACTGCCATAAAAGCTATAAATACCAAGCTTTTATATTTGTTTCGTCAGTCTCACATCAACCTTTGTAGAGTGAAGAATGATTCTGCATAAGGATGTGAAAAAGGTCGCTTTCAAGGAAAAGGTTTAATTAATCGTATTATCAATAGTTTACCGTTCGAGTTACATTTGCCAGGTTACCAATTCTGTGGCCCTGGTACAAAGTTGGCAAAGCGTTTGTCTCGTGGCGATCAAGGAATTAATCCGTTAGACGCTGCTTGTAAACAACACGATATTGCATATTCACAAAATCGTGAAAATATTCAAACTAGAAACGAGGCAGATAAAGTATTAGCTAAGAAAGCTTGGGGACGTGTTAAAGCTAGTGATTCTAGTTTAGGTGAAAAAGCAGCTGCTTTAGCTATTTCTGGAACCATGAAAACTAAATCAAAATTAGGTATGGGGATGAAAAGAAGAAGAAAAAGAAAGTCATCTATAAGAAAGAAAAAAAGGAAAACAATGTGTAAGAAGAAACGGATAGCATTAAGGAAAATGGTTGACGCTGCGCGAAAAAGCATGATTCCTAGTAATAATGCTGAAGAATTAATTCGAGCAGCTATGATTGGTGCACGAAAAGCAATAAAAAATGTTGGTGGTAAATCCAAAGTTTTATCACCTAGAATTCTTCCTGTACCTACAAAAGTAGGTGGAATATTACCGCTAGTTCCAATTTTTGCTGGACTTAGTGCTTTAGGTGCTCTTGCTGGAGGAGCTTCAGGAATAGCAAGGGCTGTTAATGATAAATCGTCCAAGCGCCCGTCCTGCCGGAAGGACGTTCCGAAAAAAAGGCTTTTAAAAAAAGGGAATTTAACTTTTCTTTTCTGGCACTCCTTGGGATTAAAGTAGACGAAAAGACGAAAAAATACATATTTTTGACTTTTTAAAATAATAATATTAAACTATTTTTCAAAGCCTTCAAACTTGCTATGTTTCTAAACAGTGAAAAAAAAATTTTTTGGTAAATTTAATGTAAAATCCCCGAAAATCAATATTTTTTTATCGGACAAGTCTCTTTCTTTCTCTTCACAAGGACTTGGTCTCCACTTGAAACCCTACATTAAAGGAAAAGGAATTAAAAAACGAGCATCAAGAAAGAAGAAGAAGCGAACAACAAGAAAGAAAAAAAACTTGCAGTGAAGCTACCTCACCGTCCATTAACTGATTTTGATCTGATAAGATATGCTAAAGCTGTCAAAATACCTCGTTTTCGTGGTGTTTTTATGCATAATGATCAAGTAAGTAATTGATATTCCAACTGGAAGTTACGTAATTAAAGACATTGAATCCTATATACAAAATTCTATAGAAATTGGAACTGTCATTAGTATAAAACCAAATAATAATACATTGCGCAGTGTAGTTAAATCAAATTTACCAATTAATTTTAAACCTATTGACTCGATTGGTAAATTATTAGGATTTACATCTCAGCATCTAGCACCTCACAGAGCACATACTTCTGATTTACCTGTAGCTATTTTAAATGTCAATTCAGTTAGAATTAAGTGTAATATTACATCTGGAGATTACATAAATAACCAAAAAGTCCACACTATCCATGAATTCTTCCCTAGAGTTCCACCAGGATATAAGATTATGGAAGTGCCTGCACATGTCATGTATCTTCCGATTGCCACCAAGACAATACATAATATACAGCTGCGAATTGTTGATCAGGACAGTTATTTAATAAATTTTAGAGGAGAAACTATAACGATTCGATTGCATATAAAGTCATTGTAATGGGAATCGTTTATAATCAAAAAGCTGTTGTTGGTGGAAACTATAAAAGTCAGCCAACATGCAAGAGTCAGATCAGTCTAAAAGAATCTCACAAGGTGTTAACACCTCAGAATCGTCGCTTTCTTCAAGAACTAGGACTAAGAGTTATTCCTCAAGGAAAACAGCAACAGGACAATTAATCTATATATTTTTTGGGTGCTGTTGCAATAAAAATGGACGAACTTCACAACATTCCAGCAGCAGTAAATTTTGATGAGTCCATAGCTCATTATGAAATTCATGCTCATCAACGATATGCATCTTCATCTTTCAATAATAGTAATGAAATTCGAATTGCAGTACAACATCAATATCTATGCATTTTACCGAGTAAAAGTTCTTTACACATTTTTGGTAGATTAGCTAAAAATGATGGAATTACTCTTACAGAAAATGTACATTTAAGCAATAATGCTGTATGTTTTTTGTTTGATGAAATTCGCTATGAATTAAATGGAATTGAAATAGATCGATGCAAATACGTTGGACATACTACAATTATGAAAAATTATGTCTCACAAACACCTACTCAGATAAACTTTATTGAAAATGCTGGATATTCAAGAATGACAGCTGATGCAAGACTTGTATTGGAAAATGGCTATTTTGATGTCACAATACCACTTAGCATGATTTTTGGTTTTGCTGAAGATTATAAAAAAATTATTATGAATGCTAAACATGAACTTATTTTAACAAGAGCACGTTCTGATATGAATGCTATAATTCAAACAGGACAAGGCGGTGATGAAGAATTCAAAATTTTTATCAATAAACTTGAATGGATGGTTCCATACGTTTTACCTGCTGATAATAATAAAATAAAACTATTAAAATTTATTGAAAAAGATCCATTAATTTCAATGAGTTTTCGATCATGGGAAATATATGAATATCCTTTACTTCCTGCCAGCTCAAAAGTTTTGTGGCAAATTAAAACTTCAACGCAATTGGAAAAACCACGCTACGTTATTGTTGGATTTCAAACAGCAAGAAAAGATAAACGAAAAAAACATGCCTGTCATTTTGACCATTGTAATATTACAAATGTTAAACTCTTTTTAAATTCACAATATTATCCGTATGGTAATTTAAACCTAAACTTTGATCAAAATCAATTCTCTCTACTTTATGAAATGTATGCTAATTTTCAATCATCCTATTATGGAAAAGATTCAAAACCTATTTTAACAAAGGACATTTTCAAAAGTCTATTTCCTCTAATTGTAATTGATTGTTCAAAGCAAAATGAATTTTTAAAACAAGCCTCAGTTGATGTAAGGTTAGAATTTGAAGCAGGAAATAACATGCCAGCTGAGACTACTGCCTATTGCTTAATAATACATGATCGCGTCATACAATATAAACCAATCAGCGGCGTTGTAAAGAAACTGTTGTAGTGGAGATAATGTAGTGGGGAGTGGTGATCGGTATAAAAACCGATGTTTTCGAAGAGAAACTCATTTCTGTTTTAGGATGGAGTTCATCGTAGATGTTCAAGGCTTTAAAAGATCGCACAACGAATTTGTTTTCAAAGAGTTGGCAATACTTCCTCTCCAATCGGATGCTCAGCCACTCGTTTGTTTGTTTGAACCTCCTTGTGCATGGAACTCGCTGCCTGATCGTTATAAAAGTGAAAAACTTTGGTTGACACATAATTATCATGGAATTAATTGGACTGCTGGAGACATCCCATACGATGAACTTCGTTCTATTCTGCAAGGAATATTGCTAGGTTATAAAGCAATCTACGTTAACCCTTTTGTGCCCCCGGGAAATCCAGCGGTTGGATTTGCTTCCAAATTGGTACTCGGGGATTTCGGGGTCGCTGATTACGAATCCGATGAGAGTTTTAAAAAATTAAAAATGGCGGATCCAATATGGCGGACAAGATTTTTAAAAAATGCTTGAATTTGCTACAATATTGCTACTCGGGGGTTTTTGGGGTCGCTGATTACGAATCCGATGTCAGTTTTTCAAAATTCACAATGGCGGATCTAATATGGCGGACAAGATTTTAAAAAATTACTTGAATTTGCGTCAATGTTGTTACTTGGCAGTTTTCGGGGTCGCTGATTGCGAATCAGAAGCCAAAATTAAAAAATTTTCAAAAATCAAAATGGCGGATCCAGTATGGCGGACAAGATTTCAAAAAATTGCCTGAATTTGCTTGAATATTGTTAATCGGGGGTTTTCGGGGTCGCTGATTACGAATCCGATGTCAGTTTTTCAAAATTCAAAATGGCGGATCCAATATGGCGGACAAGATTTTAAAAAATTGCTTGAACTTGCGTCAATATTGTTATTTAGGGGTTTTCGGGGTCGCTGATTGCGAATTAGAAGTCATATTTTTAAAATTTTTTAAATTCAAAATGGAGGATCTAATATGGCGGACAAGATTTCAAAAAATTTCTTGAATTTGATTCAATATTGTTACTTGGGCGTTTTAGGGTCCGCTGATTACGAATCCGATGTCAGTTTTTCAAAATCCAAAATGGCGGATCCAATATGGCGGACGATATTTTCAAAACTTTGTTTGAATTTGCTTTAAAACCGGTACTTGGGGGTTTTAAGGGTCACTGATTACGAATCTAATTTCAGTTTTTTAAAATCAAAATGTCGGATCAAATATAAAAGTTTTTGAGGTCGTTAAGTACGGAGAGAATTTTAGATTCAAATTTTATTAATATTTCAGATCCTAATTTTTATATAAAAAATAAATTATACAAAAAATTTAGAATAAAAATATGATCTGAAATTAGTTACAAAATTATACAAATGAATTTCGATACACCAGAATAGTGTACAATGGTACAAATAAAGAGTTTTATTAAAAATTATGAAAATTAATCTTTTCACTTGGTAATTTTTTGTGGATTTAAAAACATATTTTTTACAAAATTGAGCATGGATTATTTTGTTTCTACTATTTTATCAATAAAACTTAAACTGACATCAGATTCGTAATCAGCGACTCCAAAAACCCGCGAGTAGCAGTCTTGAAGCAAATAGAAGCAATTTTTAGAATCTTGTTCGTCATATTGGATCCGACATTTTCAATTTAAAAATTTTTTTAAATCTAACGTCTGATTCGTAATCAGCGACCCTTAAAACCCCCAAGTAACGATATTGACGCAAATTCAAGCAATTTTTTAAAATCTCATCCGCCATATTGGATCCGCCATTTTGAATTTTGTAAAACTGACATCGGATTCGTAATCAGCGACCCCGAAAACCCCCGAGTAACAATATTGAAGCAAATTTACGGAATTTTTTAAAATCTTTTCCGCCATATTGGATCCGCCATTTTTAATTTTTAAAATTTTTTAAATCTGACTTCCGATTTGCAATCAGCGACTCTGAAAACTACCCAAGTAACAATACGGACCCAAATTCAAGCAATTTTTTAAAATCTTGTCCGCCATATTGGATTCGCCATTTTAAATTTTGAAAAACTTTAGATTAGACCCCACTATGCCGTTTATGCAATACATAGCGCTCCACCTCTCCACAATGGCGGTTAACTAAACTCAACACCGTGCATAAAAGCATTAGTGATGTAATTTAGGTTAATTTGTGAAAATTATTATTTAATATTATATATATAATTGGATGTACAAATGTTAAAATTTATAATATATATGTCAAAATAATACGAGTGAATATTAAAAAGAAAGAAAAATTATTTAAGAAGAAAAATTATATTTTAAAACTTCCGTCTTTTAAGCATAATGAATAAATTATTTTGAGGTTTATATTATTAAAATAAAATTTACTATTGACAATATTTATTTATTTATAAACTTTATTAAATTATTTTATCTTTAACTAAAATATCAGATAAAATATTGAAGAGAAAATTCCCTGATTTTATATTAGAAGAAATAATAAACTAAATAGTAATTATAATCGCAATCAGAAACAATAAACTTCTAAATTTTAATAATGTCAGATTGTTTGAGAGTAATGTTTTGAAGCGAGATTCACTAAACATGTGTGTGAACTTTTTTTTACAGTTTTACGCATTTTGAAAACATTTTTTACAATACGAACGGTTAGATTTCAGTCTTAAAGACTTATGTAACGCATTTTTTACATTGATGTGAAATCACACAAACTAGTCGACAGACCATTAAAAATAAACATTCAACGTTAATGAGAAAAGTCCCCGATTTTGAATAAGAAGAATTAAACGTTTCTCATTAGTAATAAAAAATAATAAAAAAACATAAAAATAATAATTATAATCGCAAGCAGAAACAATAAACTTCTGAATTTTATAAAAATGTTAGATTGTTTGAAAGTAATGTTTTGAAGCGAGATTCACTAAACATGTGTGTGAACTTTTTTTTACAGTTTTACGCATTTTGAAAACATTTTTTTACAAAACGAACGGTTAGATTTCAGTCTTAAAGACTTATGTAACGCATTTTTTGTGAATCTCGCTTAAAAAAAGTTACTCTCAAACAATCTGACTGACTGATTAAAATAAACAAAAAAAGTTAATGAGAAAATTCCCTAATTTTAAATTAGAAGAAATAATTAACTAAATAGTAATTATAATCGCAATCAGAAACAATAAACTTCTAAATTTTAATAATGTCAGATTGTTTGAGAGTAATGTTTTGAAGCGAGATTCACTAAACATGTGTGTGAACTTTTTTTTACAGTTTTACGCATTTTGAAAACATTTTTTACAAAACGAACGGTTAGATTTCAGTCTTAAAGACTAATGTAACGCATTTTTTACATTGATGTGAAATTACACAAACTAGTCGACAGACCATTAAAAATAAACATTCAACGTTAATGAGAAAAGTCCCCGATTTTGAATGAGAAGAATTAAACGTTTCTCATTAGTAATAAAAAAATAATAAAAAAACATAAAAATAATAATTATAATCGCAAGCAGAAACTTCACAATTTTAATAATAATGTTAGATTGTTTGCGAGTAACTTTTTACACAGATTCATAAAATACGTATGAATTTTTAAAACCTTCTACAACATAAATGCATTTTACCTAAAAGAAAAAAACAAAATTTTAATGAAAACGAAGATAGTATATGAAAGACACTGGACTTTAAGAACAAGGTCTTTACTTTTTTCGATGATACTATCTTTTTTGAATTTTTCCGTTTTCTTTTGTTTTTTTATCGAGACTTTTGGAAGTTGAGCTAGATGACGATGACGATAGAGACGAGCTGGAAGAGGAAGATGAGCTGGAAGAGGAAGACGAGCTGGATGAGGAAGAGGAAGATGAGCTAGACGAGCTGGAAGAGGAACTTGAGAATGAATTTGAAGGTGCTGGTAAACTAAGATTTTGGTCTTCTTTTACTAAACTTGCAGATGCCGGTGAACTTGAATTATCAGACCGCTCTGATGTTAAAATTTCCTCTTTCTGATGATTAGGATCTCTTTCAGTATTTTGATCAATTTCGAGATTAACTACAGGTTGTAGATTTTCATCAGGATGTGGATTCTCCTCAATTTCTCTATTATTTTGGCGGTCTTTCTCGACTTCAGATTCAGAACTCATAACCAAATTTTCATTTGGTATGAATGATGATTCAACAGGCAGACTTGCTACATCCTGAGGTACAATTGCTTCTTCATTTGACACAGCGACAAAAGGAGTATCCCATCTTGTGGGTCTTCGTCGCCGGTTTTGAACATTCTGCGCTCTAATATTCAATCGTTCCTGCACTTGTCTTACCCTTTCCAAAAAATTAATCGGATTATTGGGTTGTTCCTGATGACAACATAAAATAAAATGTCAATTTATATATAATCTTAATTATATTTAAGGTAGCACATTTTAAGAGCTTGGAATTTACAATATTATTATACCGTTGTTTTTAAATAAATATTTATTTTACATTTAAAAAATATATTATTTCCAGCCATTGTTGTATCTGATTCATAACCTCAAAATATTTTTTGAACTTTTGTAAATTTTTATTTACTTTTTAAATTAACTAACATAAATATTTTAAATATTTACTAGAAATAATATTTACTAGACTACTAGAAAAAATATAATTTGTAAAATAAAAAATAATTATAGGTTAAAATATTTTATTAAGGACGAGAAATGTAAAAAATTACACCTCGAAAATATTTTTAATATTAACTAAAAATAGTATTTACTAGACTACTAGAAAAAATATAATTTGTAAAGTAAAAGATAATTATAGGTTAAAATATTTTATTAAGAACGAGAAATGTAAAAAATTACAGCTCGAAAATATTTTGAGGTTATGAATCAGATTCAACGATTGCTGCAAATTTTTCAACAGATTAAAAGGAATAATAATAATAAATTTACCACAACAATCTGAGGCCTCGGCGTCGGCAAATTCAACATTTCCAAGTCTCTCACAGTCCTCGAGAAATTCAACGTTGTCAGGTTCAAAACATTCATGGGACGTTGTCTATTAAACCGTGGATCGTGTGGAAAAATTAATCTAGAAGCTTCACAGGAACAATATACCGATTGCCTTGGTGGTCCTGGAGCGTACTATCCAACGTAGTTCGGATCCGTTAATTTAAAAATCTCACAAGTTATACATGAACAAGCTGATTCTTGGTCATTCTCTTATAATAATAATAATTTAATCATATTAGAAAAACTATATGTATATTTTTTTTAATTATTACTTATATATTTACCATTATTATTTTTGTTTTGTTGTAAACGCAAGTTTTATATAAAATTCGAAACTCTTTACAATCACTCTCCGTTCTGACAGCTCTGTTTCCGTTGACTTCGCGATGGCCATTTTCATTTATGGAAAGAGTATGCAAGGTTAGTATTTTAGGGTGAAACAAAGGTTTTGTAAATTGAAGGTGCTTTCAGCAGAAATCAGACTTCTGATTGGCTATTCTTAATTCCATTACTAGAAGGAGCCAATCATAATTCTTCTTACTAAAGTCACTAAAACTTAACCATAGACTTAGGCTGGAGTCCTATGATAGCGTTTTGCGTTGCGTTTTGTAACTAGGCCATGAGTGAGAGAGAGATAGAGATATATGTTTGCTCTATTTGCACTCATGGCCTAGTTACAAAACGCAACGCAAAACGCTACCATGGGACTCCAGCCTTAACGTTTATGATCAACGACTTACAAGAAAAATAATTTTTTATCAACAAAATTTAATAAAAAACATTTGTTGACAATAAATATTATTTTTCACTGGTAAATAATAATTATTGCAATGGTAGATAATAATCTTTGGGAACTTCGACTTGCTTAATCAGTCGGTAATTTAGGCGGGAAAACTTAAACCCATTTCCAAAACCATATAAACTTGATCAATAAATTGTTTTAAATATACCACCAAGTGATTTGAACCTGGCCGATAAATTTTAGTAGCGCCATTTACTTCAGGCTGATAGAATTAACACTTTGATAAATTAAATGGGAAAATTTAATCACACAATAACGGAATTTAATTTTACAAAATAATATTAAAATTTATAACAACCCTTCAGACGACTTAAACATAGAAAAACATTTTGTTGCGCCATCTACTGTTGACTGCCAGAACTAAGCTTGGACAGTAATTTTTGCGGAATATTTAGTACACCTCTACAATGCGATTTTAAGTTAATTAATAAAAATTCAAATATCCCGCCAGTGGGTTGAAAATTCAGCAAAAATAGAGTTGCACCATCTATAGGAGGCAGCCGCAACTAAGTTTGGTCGGTAATTTTGGCGGGATATTCAAAATACCCCTACCAAGCGACTTTAAGTTAAATAAAAATTCAAATATCCCGCCAAGCGTTTTAAAATTGAGAAAAAATAAAGTAGCGCCATCTATCGGAGGCAGCCGTAATTAGAATGATCGGTAAAGTAGAACACCCCTTCCAACGCAGTTGAAAATTCGAAAATAATAATTCAAATCTCCCACCAAGAGGTTTGAAATTGTGCAAAAATAAAGTGGCGCCATCTAGCGGTGGCCACCGCAACTAAACTCGGTCGGTTAAACAGAACACCCTTTCTAACAACGCAGTTGAAAGTATACTATTTATGGTAATGCATATGATCAAAGTTTTATTCATATTAAAAGGTTAAACTTTTTCAAAACTGATTCGATTTAAGTCAATGATGGCTTATTTTTTTCAGAAAATTGTTTTTCTATAACTTGACCGCTCAGATTTATAAACAAATTCACAGTTTAAAAAATATGCTTATTTGTAAGAAATTTTTAAAATTAAATCACTTTTTTAAACAAATAAGCATATTTCCAAAACGGTATATTTGTTTATAAATTTGAGCTGTCAAGTCATAGAGAATCATTTTCTAAAAGAAAATAAGCCATCATTGACTTAAATCGAATCAGTTTTGAGAAAATTTAACCTTTTAATATGAATAAAACTTTGATCATATGCAAAATACTAAATACACAATTTTTGTAAGTTTCAAATTTTTTTCTTGAAAATTGATATTTGTTCTTTCAGAAGATACAAATAACAATAATATTAAAAAACTATTAAATGTTAAGGGCATCCGGGAAAAATCGAGCCCAAAAAGTGTTTTCCCGCGTGTCGTCTCACTCCTAAATAATTAGAGATATTTAGTTCGGATTTATCATGATAATTAGGGGAATTTATGATGATAAAGAATATTCTCGAATATTGCAAGTAATTTTTGAAATAAATAAAGAAAAACAAAATTACAAAAGTTGGATTTTTGGCGAAAGTGAGAGACAATATGGCGGCGAGCACACAGACAAGTGGATCTATGTGTCAGTGGTCAAGGAGGTGGCGCCAATTCTCGGAAGTGGTCGCGACTTGAACTAAGGAAATGTATTAATCTCAAATTACTCCACTTTCAATCGTTAATAAAATAATTTCCTCGCAAAATTATTGCAAAAACGGAGAGGGCCGCTTCTAGGAGAGTCTTCCTCTATCACCCCTCCAAATATGAACCCGAAATATTTTATCCTCTCAAAATGAGACGTCTATACTGAACCGTGAAAAACCCCTTTTTCCGTATATTTAAACAATTTTTTTCAATAATTATTTATCAAAATTTCTCTAAACTCCGAGAGGACCGCTGGTCCCAGAGCATTTCTCTATATTTACCAAAAAATCCCGACTCAAAATATTCTTTTCTTTTTAAATGAGACGTCTATCACGAAACCAGTATTATTTCCCGGATGCCCTTAATTCAATATTTTTTCAGAAGGTCTGCATACCTGTAAACAACCTTCTTAAATGCTTATAACTCGGTCAAATATTATTTTTATTTTTTATGTACACAGTGAAAACGGTAGGCCTAATTTTTCATTTGACTAAATCACAATTTTACACAGAAAGAAGGTTAAGTTTGGAGAGACTCATTCTGAAAACACATTTGCTATGAAAAATTTGTGTGATTTTGTCAAATGTCAAGTTAGTCATTTGGCCACCACTGCGTATATAAAAATTAAAAATTTCAAAATAAATAGATCCCATCGTTTGCCGACGATCGGACAAGGCTTAAAAATTGTTAATTTAGTGCTAGTTTGTTACAAAAAATTTTTTAAAAATTGATCGATACATACATTTTTAAAAATGAAATTTTATTTTAAAATTTTTTAAAACTTATCGTAAATTATTTTAAAAAATTTTTAAAATATTTTTATTAAAAACTACGCGTGAAAACAAAACTTTTAATTATAAAAACGTCCAATTTGACCAATTTTTGACCGAGTTATAAGCATTAAAAAAAATTTACGTAAAAAACGCCATTTTTCAAAAATCTGTATTTCCTGGACCGCTTTATGAAAAAATTTGAAAAAATCAAGATAGCTCATTTCAAAGAGTACTAAAAGAAAAAAAATATTTAAAAAAATTTGAGATCCAAAAGCAAAATAATTTCCGATTTGGCCTGGAATGCCCTGGCTATTTCACCCCGTTCTACCCCGTAATATTCATCATGTATCCTTTATAGAAAGACAGCTATTTTTTTGGCTGGAGATTGAGAGTGACGGTCGTGAGTGGTTAAAATACGATGATGGCGGTCGCTATTGGCTGAAATAATTTTAAATTTTTGTGCGCGCGCCGTTTTGAGGTTCTAATTTATTCCACCTGGTCGAGTGCGAGTATTATACATACTAGAACCAAAAGGGCGCGCGTCGCGCGCCCACTCCTAGTCGTTGAGACAAAATAAAACCTTAATTTAAACCTTAATTTAATAAAAACATATGTTTATATTTTAAAACTTATTTTTTTGTTAATAAGATTGTTTAAAAGTTTTTGAATTTTTTTAATCCAAGTTTGACGACTTGCATTTTCTGAGAAAAAAAATTACACGATAAATAATTTTCATTCTGAAGAAAATCACCTTTAAAATAAGCCTAAACTCATTAAAAAGCGTTAATTATTTTAGAAGTTATTAAAATTTTTGCAAAACATTGAAAATTACAATTTTTTAAAAATATCTAAATAAAATATTGGCTAAATGACTTCTGAAAGATCTTGTTGTATTCAAAATTTTATCATCTTTTAAAACATAAAAAGAAAAAAAATTTAGTTTCCATACATAATACGTTTTAAAATGTTTTTCATTCACCTGAAAATGGGTATGGTCTCTAAATTTTGACAGGTAGTGTATATTATATTTTTATTAGAGTTTTACTTATATTTAATATTGAAATAATATTAATATATATTACAAAACTAATTTTGTTCATAATATAAAAATTACAAAGTAAAAACGCTACAGATATTTTCCATCAGTTTATTATAAATTTTATTATATTTTTACTTATATTATATTATAACATCAAAGATGTATTGGTTGGGATTAAATTATTCTGAGATAAATTATTTATTACTATTATATTTATTAGTGAAATCAGTAAAATTTCGGAAATAATTTACATGTTTTAATGTTCTTTAGATAAAGCTAAAATAAGCATCCAGTTTACTTTAAAAAAATCAATGTTTTTGTTTTAAAAAAAGAATATTTACCATTAAAATTTAATTCTAAAAGTTACAGATGTTGAAACTGTAATCCATGTTACAAACCAGAAATAAATTTATTAAATTAATCTGTTGAGATGGCCTTTTATCTTGATTTGGGGAGGCACCAAGCTGCCAGAATGTTTAATTATTCTGTTTAATTTTGTGGGGACGTTATCCTACTTTTAAAAGTTGCCTACTGATGCGTTAAACGCACTATGGTTAAAAGTGTTTTGAATTTTAGTTTTAGTTAGGTAAGTAAAGAAATTGATTTTCATGAATACGTGATTTATTTATTAATAGCAAAATACCTTTTAGAATACAAGAATGGTTAGAAAAGTCTTATAATTAGATAGTGTATGTGTTAGAGTGTGTATCGTGAAACCAATAAATAACCAATAAACCAATAAATAAAATAAACCAATAAATAAAATTAATTTTTTCTAATTGTAACCATTTTTTTAATTATTTAAATTTTATATAAACTATAAAAAATATTTTTTAATAATTTTGTTGTCTGAATCGACGGTATGAGGTTCGTAGTTGTTACACGGAAAAAATTTTGGTGCACCAGTCGTTCCTACTAGTGCACGAGCTATACCAAACCGCAGGACGAATGTTGTCCTAGCGCTTAGTATAGCAGACGTACCGTTTTGTGACAGCAGGCGCACCCTTTTGGTGAGCCCTCTGCATTATTTAAAAGAGCAGACGATATACTACACCTATACGGATAACATACGTCCCATTTTCGTGCATCTGACGCGCCAAAACGAGATAACAGTGCGCCGAACTACTGGTACAACAGCTGTACTATAGGCAGCGCAAATGATGCACCAAAATTTTTTCCGTGTAGTAGTTTGCTTGCGGTGGTGGGTAGCTTGTCTGTGTTGGTGGGTAGTAAGTCTGAGGTGGTGCATAGTATACTTGTGGTGGTGGGTAGTTTGACTGCTGTGGTGGGTAAGGTGCTTGTGGTGATGGTGGGTAGTTTGACTGCGGTGATGGGTAAGGTGCTTGTTGTGGTGGGTAGTTTGACTGCTGTAGTGGGTAAGGTGCTTGTGGTGGTGGTGGGTAGTTTGACTGCGGTGATGCGTAAGGTGCTTGTGGTGGTGGGTAGTTTGACTGCTGTGGTGGGTAAGGTGCTTGTGGTGGTGGTGGGTAGTTTGACTGAGGTGGTGGATAAGGTTCTTGTGGTGGTGGTGGGTAAGGTGCTTGTGTTGGTGGTGGTGGGAAGTATTGTATGGGTCTTCTTCTTGTATATGGTCTAAATTCTGTCTCCGTGTATGTTCTTGGTCCCCTGTAATTTCTGGCTTGGAAATTTTTTTTCATTCTAAAATTATAAATTAATTAAAAATGTAATTATTTTTTTTATACAAAGGGGCCGTTCAAAAAATACGTAACATTATTTTTTGGATATTTGGACCACCCCCTTCCCCTCAAAAAGCGTTACGTATTTTTTGAACGGCCCCAAATTTAAACTAAAATTTTAAAAAATAATTTGCAGAGTGTCTACTAACCGGGAAATAACTGGGAATTAAATTTAACCTTGAAAAACCGTAAATTTTATACCAAACCGTGAATTTTTCACGAAAATTAAAAAAGTTTTATTTTTCAATTTGTTTTTAAAAAATCACTTTTTATTTCAATTTATATAGATATTTAAACTGTTCTCTAAATTGAAATTAGTTAAAAATAATTTATTTGATAGTAAAAAATCAGTCACCAATTCAAACATATTATGTAAATAAATTTAAAAAAATTATGGAGTTAATAGAAATATTGTTAAATTCGACTGAAAATATGTAATTAAATTTGTTAAAGAATTTTATTATAAACTTTTTAATAAATAGAATTTTCTAAGTATTTTAAGTTAATAATTGATTAATAATTCAATTTTATAAGGAGTCATATTCTAATGTATTCATGTTTCTAAGGGCGAAGATTAATCATTAAAATTGAACCCCTTGATGCAAGAACCAGACATAGACCATTAGAATTAAATGGGCTGCGTCTGGTTCTTGCATCAAGGGGTTCAATTTCTATTAGTTAATTTAAAAAAATATACGTACTTAAAATTGTTTAATAAAATTGAACTTTCGCAAATTTTTTTTTTAAATATAAAAAATACGATTGTTGTAATTTTTTAATTCTATTGTTTCATGATAATTAAATTTTCTAAATAAATAATTGAAATTTCTTTACATTTTTTGAAAAATAATTAAATTCTTTTAAAGAATTTTATTTAAATTTTTAGAAAATAATCAAAGGAAGTTAGTGATCGTAATTATAATTTTATTTTTAAAATTTAAAGTCCCTCTTACAGTTTTTAATAAATTTTTTGCTTCTAAAATTATTATTAAACTTCTCTTAATTTTTTTTATTATTTATTAAGTAAATATTAATTATTCATGTTTCTTATTTTTAAAAAATTGAAATATTTATTTATCTTCGAAATCAAATTTGACTTTAAATTGGATAAAAAAACCGGGAAAAAATTAGAACATAACCGGGAAATAACCAGGAATTTTGTAGATCGAAAATAATAGACACCCTGAATTTGATTTTAAAGAAATCTAAAAATCATGTTAAAAAAATGAGGGTGATATATATATATATATATTTAAACGAAATAACCTTTTTTGGTCTTTTTCTTTCAATCTCCTTCTTAAATTTCTTTCAGTATTTTTGGGAGCATTATTTTTTTCAGTTTTTGTGTCTTCTTCATCTTCATTTCCTTCACTTGTATCTTCTTTACTTTCAGCTTCTTCTTTTTTTTCGTCTTTTATTTTCTCTTCATTCGATTTAATCATTTTGTTATTTTCATTACTATATGTGACTGTCCACGAGAAAACAAGGCTTAGGTCCAAAAAATCAATTTTGATTTTTTTATGGTAATCGACAGATTTTATGTTGCTTTTTCAAATGCAAAAGTCAAAAGTTAAAAATATCAATTACTTTCGACAATATATCGTTTTAAAGATGGGTATGTTAAGCGTAGTTAACCTCAATCGTTGACTCTCCACGATAAAACACGGCTTAGGTCGAAAAAATCAATTTGAGTTTTTTATGGTAATCGACAGATTTTATGTTGCTTTTTCAAATGCAAAAGTCAGAAGGTAATTATCAATTACTTTCGACAATATATCGTTTTAAAGATGGGTATGTCAAGCGTAGTTAACTTTAATCGTAGTACTTCAATCGCTCGCCCTGTGAAATTCACGTTTGGGAGCTAAGCCTTGTTTTCTCGTGGACAGTCACATATTCTCTTCGGAATTACTTTCTTTATTAATGTATCTTTTTAAAAATACAAACACTGAAAAAAATTAAATAATTTTTTTAAATATAACATAATAATAAAAACCTTAATTTTAATTTTATAAAAATGTAACATTTTTTTAAAAAAATTTTTAATTTTTTTTTAAATTAAATTTTGTTATTACTTACTTTTTATTTATTAAATAATTTTTGAAGAATATTGAATTTTTTTTAGATGGTTGTTCGCAAACTGGCAGTTGACAAATTGCGATTCTATTTTTTTATTTAATATTATCTACACTTCATATTGTTCAATTTAACTATTTCATTTTTTTTATTAAAAAATTGTATAAATTTATATATAATTAAATTTATTTTATTTAAAACTATTTATAAATTGTGAACAACCATCTAGAATAGAAAAATGTAATATATTCCAAATATTATTTTTAAAAAGTTACATTTTTTATAAAATTAAAATTTTAATTATTTTTTTTTTATTATTATATTATGTTTAAATAAATATTTTAATTCTTTAATGTTTATATTTTAAATAGATTATTTTAATAAAAAAATAAACCTGAAACTAAATAATCTATCTGAAGATAATAAAGCGCTTCAATCAGAAGAATATTTACGGAATTTAGCAATCTTTTAAAAATTTTAAATATTTATTTATTTTATTTCTCTAAATTAGATTATTAGGGTTAGATTTTCTCAAGTGGACTTTAAATTTTCAAAAGTTGAAATTTATCAGTGTAAATGTGCAAAAAGATAGTTCTATTAGAGTTACGAATAACCTGTAAATTTTATTAAAAAATATTCAATTGTTTATTTTTTATAAACAATTGAAATTTTATCCATAACATTTTTAAAAAATGCATAAGGGTCAGTCCATTATATTTCACCTGAAGCCGTTGCGACCTATTTTTAAAAAAATCTCATAATTTGTAAAAATGATGTTTAATATCCATAGAATTCATTTTTGAGAATTCTTTTATAAAATTTTTTGAATTAAACTTAGAATTTTTATTTTTAAGTTGAGTTGCACAGTAAAAAGGTTAGATTGACAGTTATGAAAATTTAATAAAAAAGCATGGGAATAATTTAGATAATACAAATTTCTTGATTAATATTTGTTAAAAATGAGCAAATTTACTTGTATAAATAGATTATTATGTAAACATACCTAAAATAATAAATAAAAATTGATTTTAAAATTTACCTATGAAATGTCAAAAGTCACTACATTTTATTTACACTTTTCTAAAAAGTTTATAAATATTAATAAATTTATTACTATTCAATGTAAAGTATTTTTAATGTACTTTCATAAAATGTGCTAACTTTTTAATTTTATAATATAGAAATATAAAAAATTTTACGTTTAATATTGAGTGTTTCATGATTTTCAGTGATTTTAATCACTTATTTCTTCTCAGGTGCAAGACCAAAAAATCCCATTTTTGTCTTAATATTAAAGTTTGATCTTCTTTTCCATTCTATTAAATTTTGGTGATGGAGAACAAATTACTTTTCAGTTTAAAAAATCTGCTGAAAAAACGAATTTGTTGGTTAAAATGCAAGTAGATTTTTGCAAAACTATTGAGATAGCCAACTTCAGTGTTATAAAATTACCTGCATTTTAACCAACAAACTCGCTTTTGGAAGCAGATTTTTTAAACATGAATAAAACTACAAAGTAGCTCGTTCTCCATCACCAAAATTTAATAGAATGGAAAAGAAGGTCAAACTTAAATATTAAGACAAAAATGGGATTTTTTGGTCTTGCACCTGAGAAGAAACAAGTGATTAAAATCACTGAAAATCATGAAACATTCAATATTAAAGGTAAAATTTTTCATATTTCTTTATTATAAAATTAAAAAGTTAGCACATAATATGAAAGTATATTGAAAGTACTTTACATTATGTAGTAATAAATTTTTTAATATTTATAAACTTTTTAGAAAAGTGTAAATAAAATGTAGTGACTTTTGACATTTTATAGTTAAGTTTTAAAATCAATTTTTATCTATTATTTTGGATATGTTTACATAATAATCTATTTATACAAGTAAATTAGCTCATTTTTAACAAATATCAATCAAGAAATTTGTATTATCTAAATTATTTCCATGATTTTTTATTAAATTTTCAGAACTGTCAATCTAACCTTTTTACTGTGCAACTCAACTTAAAAATAAAAATTCTAAGTTTAATTCAAAAAATTTTATAAAAGAATTCTCAAAAATGAATTCTATGGATATTAAACATCATTTTTACAAATTATGAGATTTTTTTAAAAATAGGCCGCAACGGCTTCAGGTGAAATATAATGGACTGACCCATAACTTTGACAAAAATTGACGAAACTTGATGATTCTTTTTGCAAATTAACTATGAAAATCAAAACTTTATAAAAATAATGTTTACTCCATCGAATCTCTTAATTTGTTATAAAAAATAATTATTTATTATAAACAAATTAAAATTAAAACGTGTTCTGGATAACCATATTTAATTTTATAAATAAGAACTTTAAGAGAATTTATTAAGGATTGCATATCAAAAAGAAAAAATTGTTTCAAGCAAGTATTTTATTAATTATGAATTTTTTTGTAAGCGCGCGCAAGCTCCGTGATGTGGGCTCCCGCGTCTGACGAATGTCGTGTGCCCCGCTTTGCACGCTTTAACTTGTTTATTTTGGAAGGTTTTCTTTCATAATTTTTTTCAAATTTGGTTTGTATGTTTTGAACTAAAATTCAATTGAAATACTTGTTTATAATAAAATTAGTAATATATTATTTTATTTATATTTATTTATGTAATCTATTTTAAGTTTATTGTTTAATTGTTTTCAGTTGAATATTTCTTGCTTCCAGAAGAACAAGTTTTAATTAATTTTTTTGTATTATATAATTTAAAAATATTTTTAATTTACTTGTAAAGTTCCGTACCTATATTAAAATTAAAAAGTAGTAATACAATATATTTTACTACTAAACAGATTAAAATTTTTATGAGTGTTTTAATGCAATCTGCTCGGTAAGCATATTGTGGTAAAATTTTGTTCAAAATTACGTGAAGGTAAAAAAAAATTTACTCAAACTGAAAAGATTTTTATAAAATTTATTTTATAAAAAAATTATATTGTAATTTATATAGTATAAAATAAATTTTTTAAAAATCCTTTCAGTTTGAGGATTTTGTAAAATTTTATTTATAAAAAGATAATATTGTAATATAAATTTTTTAAAAGTTCGTTCATAAAAAATTGTAGTCTGTTTAGTAGTAAAATATATTGCCCACATCACGGAGCTTGCGCGCGCTTACAAAAAAATTCATAATTAATAAAATATTTGCTTGAAACAATTTTTTCTTTTTGATATGCAATCCTTAATAAATTCTCTTAAAGTTCTTATTTATAAAATTAAATATGGTTAACCAGAGCACGTTTTATTTTTAATTTGTTTATAATAAATAATTATTTTTTATAACAAATTAAGAGCTTCGATGGAGTAAACATTATTTTTATAAAGTTTGGAATTTCATAGTTAATTTGCAAAAAGAATCATCAAGTTTCGTCAATTTTTGTCAAAGTTATGCATTGTTTAAAAATGTTGTGGATAAAATTACAATTGTTTTTAAAAAATAAACAATTGAATATTTTTTAATAAAATTTACAGGTTATTCGTAACTCTAATAGAACTATCTTTTTGCACATTTACACTGATAAATTTCAACTTTTAAGAATTTAAAGTCCACTTGAGAAAATCTAACCCTAATAATCTAATTTAGAGAAATAAAATAAATAAATATTTAAAATTTTTAAAAGATTGCTAAATTCCGTAAATATTCTTCTGATTGAAGCGCTTTATTATCTTCAGATAGATTATTTAGTTTCAGGTTTATTTTTTTATTAAAATAATTTATTTAAAATATAAACATTAAAGAATTAAAATATTTATTTAAACATAATATAATAATAAAAAAAAAGTAATTAAAATTTTAATTTTATAAAAAATGTAACTTTTTAAAAATAATATTTGGAATATATTACATTTTTCTATTCTAGATGGTTGTTCACAATTTATAAATAGTTTTAAATAAAATAAATTTAATTATATAAATTTATACAATTTTTTAATAAAAAAAATGAAATAGTTAAATTGAACAATATGAAGTGTAGATAATATTAAATAAAAAAATAGAATCGCAATTTTTCAACTGCCAGTTTGCGAACAACCATCTAAAAAAAATTCAATATTCTTCAAAAATTATTTAATAAATAAAAAGTAAGTAATAACAAAATTTAATTTAAAAAAAAATAAAAATTTTTTTAAAAAAATGTTACATTTTTATAAAATTAAAATTAAGGTTTTTATTATTATGTTATATTTAAACAAATATTTAATTTTTTTCAGTGTTTGTATTTTTAAAAAGATACATTAATAAAGAAAGTAATTCCGAAGAGAATATAGTAATGAAAATAACAAAATGATTAAATCGAATGAAGAGAAAATAAAAGACGAAAAAAGAAGAAGCTGAAAGT